ATAAATGTAAATGTAACGACGCACACGTGCCTTTTTTTCTACACTCAACCACGAATAAAAAAACTGTACTGTAAATCAACTCTCTGTCCGCTCTTTCGGAGCCAAAATAAATACCACCTCTAGAACATAAGGTATTCCGTAAATAAACCGGATTACCAGTGCTGTCAAAAGTTTTACTTACCTACTACTGATACTAGAGGCTATAAATTAACAATGATAAACCAGATATAGATAACACTACTACTGCCAGGAGGTTACCGTATGTGTGAAACACGTTTCTATTGCATGTTCAAAATCAAGAAAACAAATTTGGCGAGGAAATTTATGATTCTTGTGATACCAATCTTGAAACTCCATCCCACCAAAAATAAAACAATTTTAAAATTATACATTCATCACGGTAATTTTATTCATAAGAAAAAAAAAGATAAAGGAAATGCCAACTAGTACAGGTAGTTATCGTCATCAAATTACAAAAAGAAATAACCAAATAATGGTGAGCTTAACGACAAAAAATTACAGACACCTGCTTAACTGAACTTGAAAAAAAACTTGGACCTACCACTCTTTTTCCATTGTTTTTAGAAAAAAACTTTTCCAAATGCTTATATCTGAATAACAAAACTGTTTCGCAATCTCAACTAGAAATGTTGAAATAATTTCCACTAAAAATCACCTCAAAAAATTATACCAATAATAACCAATAAACAGTATATAAAGTACATGTCAGTAAAGAGAATAATTATAACGGTCCAAAGTCTTTTCCTAAATATACTGGAATGAATGAATGAAAAACTGAAATAATCAAAGCTATAAAAAATAATACTTTAACATACAAAAATGACCAAAAATGAAAACAGCTCTATCTTTAACAGAAAATTTCTTTAGTCTTCTTTTTTTACAAAAGGTAAAAACAAAACCAAACTTTGAAATATATTTTCAAGGCATTTAGTACTGTACAGACACGATGACAAGTTGGACGACACTATACAAATAATAAAAAAAAAGCCTTTTTCATGATGCAAACCAAAAATACTCGTAGAAGAAGAAGCATGATATTCTTTAAAAATAATAATTGGAAGATTCGGTTTTCTAGGAGTTACCTGAGCGTAAAGATCAATGTGCAAAAACAGCAACCTCTCAAATGCACAATATACCAGTTCAAATATATGTCAGTGACTGATAACAATATAAACATAGAGTAGTTCACATATACGATATACTTTAACTAAAGATATTTCATAACTTATTAAGGCTTGAAAATGAGAGCAGAGTTTTAAAAAAATCTCATTTCTTGAAAGAAAATGGCAACGTTGCATGCAGAATCAATCAAAACCATAAGTGAGCGATTTCTCAAGATTGAACTTGAAGTCGTTCAAAGAAGTGAGCAGTTTTGAAAGGTAGGTGAGATAATGAGGGTTTCTTAAAAAAGAGGGTTCATCATAAAGTTGAGCAGTCACAGGAGTTCGAGCCATCAGAGGAAGAAGACCGGCCAGTATATGGTCCCTTAAACTACGCAGTTTTGTAAAAACGAAATTAATGTAAACCTTATGCATTAAGATTATTTGCTGAATATCTCTCCGCATTTCTTCTAACATTATCAGAAAATAAGAAGAAAAAAATTCAATACAGCCAAGTAGGTTATTAATAAACGAAAAGCCACATGAATAGAAGAACATAAATTCAACCTTAAAGTTATAATAATGAACAGCTGGAATTTTCCGTCTTTTCCCAAAGAAGTACTTGATCCAATGCGTTTTACTAAGCGACAAGCGTAGATAATCAGTTTCCGCTGTTCTCGAGTTAATCTTTTAGCATCCTCTGTTTGCAGCAAATCAGAA